ACACACACACACACATACACACAGACACTCTCTCTCTCTCTCTCTCTCCATATTATACTTCATCTTTTCACTTACTCCATCTTATTAAATACCTCCTAACAATTCAATCTGTTGCCCACAAGGTAGCTAGGAGTCACAGTCAATTCAAAGACACCCAATGACAAAAATAGGTTCATTCAGCACATTAGGAAGACAGGGCTTAAAAAATATTCTATAGTCTTGCTGCCCATAAAAGATTCTGTAAAGGTACTAGAAAATTAAGATCAACTTACATGTAATGAAAAGCTTAAAATAATTTTTTTTATAAAAAATGAACCTCACTAATTTAAGATTTATTCACTGTGCTATTATCCCACCACTAGATGTTGGAGAAGTTGTACACACTTCAAAAGCAACCTAAAATTAAAAAATAAAAAGAAATTTGCATTAGAATCTCTAACGGAGGTAAAAGAAGCCATAATCTAGATGTCATCATAGAGCACAGAGCTAAATCCTTTAAAAAGGAAGGTTACGTACTTTTTCTCATTCTTTTCATTTGTGTAGGTGAAGCCATAAAACCCATAGTAGTGCGGAGATATCTTTGCTGAAAACTCAAGCTTCAAGGTGTAATTATGTCCTTCAAGAAGGGCTTCGGGGACAATAATAGCAAGCTGTTCAGTTTTATTATACTCCACGACCTCAACATTGTGCTCTTCGCTTGCAACTGCTAACCTAATGGTCGCTTTTGAAATATTATGGCCTTTACTATGAAGAATGATATTCCATTTGGCCTGAAGAGCTTGAAGTAAAATTGTCACAGAACCCGTGAAAGTCATCGAAGTGAGGTTTGGGTGCAGGTTAACTTCATAGCGTAGTGGTTTAATGGTAGTAGGAAGTCTGGTGTGTGCCCATGGAAATGAATTCTTCTCCTTTACCTGTGTCTGAATGAATCTCATTGATTGGTTTTTTTTATAGCAGCCTTCTTTGGTAAAGGTACATTTGGGCAACAGGTAAATCACCATGATGACAGAAACAGCAATCATAACGACAAAAGCACAGGCTGCCATGGTCCTTGCAGAGGGCACTGAACAAGGGCCATTAGAGCCCTGCCTGTAGCCGGTTGTGGTGTTCCGGAGGCCTGAGCTTCTGTTCATGAAGGACATGCCCAGAAGCTTTGCAGATGACTCACAATCTTCTTCATCCTCCTCCAAGTCATGCTCCCCAAGGCCCCGAACCAGCAGACGTGAACCTCGGGGCTCATATTCCACCTCATCGGGCTCTAGAGGATGTAAGCAAGGCTCTTTGGCTAAATCTACCACATCTGGTTCTTCTTCAAACATGCTGTTTTCAATCATATTCCTGGGGAGCTGAAGGCGATCTAAAAAGTCAAGATACAAGGAGATACTAAATTAGAAAGAAAAAGCCAATAATGAAATTATTCTTAGCAAGATCAAATAAGATACAAGAATTTTGTCACTGTGACTTACTTCCATTTCAGTGTGACTAAATAAAGTGTTAATTATATTCTTGAGTCATCCATTAAAAACTCCAACAGAAATAGAAGTACATCACAGCCATGAAACAACAGCGCTAAGGACACAAGCACGTATTTTTTGGTTTATTTTTTTAATCTCAATTTTTTAGGTTTATTTTATTATTATTATTCACTTTATGAAAATTTACAGAGACTTTAAGTTTCCATCCATTCATTTGTTGCACTTTTCTCCCTGCCAACCCGTCCTCCCCAGTAAACTCTTCTTTTTGAAAAGTAAAAAATTCTTTTATTGTTTTACAATCTCTGCCCCCGGGTCCACTCCACTATGCAGCCTTTGTTCTGGACTCCTTTCATGACAATAATACCTAATCAAATCCTATATCCCTTTTAAACAGTTTTTTCCCTCATCTGTTTCAATGCAATATACATTATTTATCCCATCTTTCTCAGTCTCCTCCCAACCCCAATGTCAGTCCTGTTTTACAACAGTGGCACTATGCAGTATTTGTCCTTTTCTAACAAAAATATTTCACTCAGAACAATGTCCTCCAGGGTCACCCGTTTTGAAAAATATTTCATGAGTTCCTTGTTTTTCAATGCAGCATAGTATTCCATTGTGTGAACATACCACAGCTTGATTCTCTAACCATTCATTTGTTAATGGGCACTTAGGTTGTTTCCAACTCCTTACTATTGTGAACAAAGCTGCGAAAAACATGGGTGTGCATATATCTGCTTGGGTAGCAGTTATGGTCTCTTTGGGTTTTAGTCCCAGTAGTGGAACTGTTGGGTCAAATGGTATCTCTATTTGCAACTTTTTGAGAAAATGCCATACCCTCCTCCATAGTGGTTGCACCATTTTACACTCCCACCAACAGCGAATAAAGGTTCCAGTTTCTCCACAACCTCGCCAGCATTTGTTGCTTGCTGTTCTGTTAAATTTTGCTATCTGACTGGAGTGAGATGATATCTCATAGTTGTTTCGGTTGTTTTTTTTTTAAAAGATGAAAAACATGCAAAGAACTGTTTAAAAAGAATATATGATGATCGCTTCTCGGCCTTTTGGCTAAGATCAAGTGAAGAATATATGATTAAGTATTATATGCATGACAACAGTCCAGAATAAGAGCTGCATAGCAGAGTGAACTGGGGGAGCAGGGGAGGGAGGAAATTGTGAAATAATGAAAGAATCTTCTTAAAGAGAAAAGAGAACTGGGAGGGTAGGGAAGAAAATGTGCAAAAATGAGTGGATGGAAATCCAAGTTTTCTGTAAACCTTCTTTAAAATATCAATAAAAAACATTTAAAAATAAATAAAAAGATGAAAAACAATAGATGAGTTCATACCCTAATTTCCTTAGTAACACTCTTGCCCAACAAGTTTGGCCTTTGCCCTGGTTATGAAGATAGCCATGCTTTGGCCTGTCTGTCTGTGCCTGTCCCCAAAGGCTCCAAGAGGTGTGCCTGTCCACAGTTCACAATCTCCTTCTAGAAACTCGTTACCGGGATCCTAGAATACCTGCCCAAAAGGTCTAAGTCTACCACCAACCCCTTCGTGGGTCTCTTCCCACAGATCCATCCTCTAAAGGGAGGCTTACAAACTGGTGTGCTTTTTTCTAAGCTTGAACAGTACCAGCAGACAGGCTGGGCTACTCCATCCTCCAAGAGAGGGATGATCCTGAGTCACAAACAGGAAGCAACAAATTATAAAGGAATTCTACAAAACAAACAAACAAATACGGCAGGAAAAAGCCTATACAAAATAAAACTATTTCAACTCTCTTTTCTCATCTCTTACAAAGTATTAAAAAACACAAGATAGCTGGTTTGAACTGCCTGACTTTAGATTGGCAGTTCAACTTCCTATCCTCTAAGCCACAAAAGCTCTGTATGTAGTGTTGTTGTATGTGCTGTCAAGTCGCTCCCAACTCTTAACTAACCTTCCAGTGAATTTTCTGAGACTGTAAGTCATGCAGGAGATTGTCTATCTTTCTCTCTCAGAGCAGGTGGTGGATTTAAACTGTCTTTGGGTTGGCAATACAAATTCTTAACGCACCAAACCATCAGAGCTCCTCTGTATGTACTGTTGTGTAGTGTCAGGCTGGAATCTACCCACAGCTGACCCTCCAGCGGGTTTCTGGAGCTAAAGGCAGGAGATTACCCATTCTTCCCCTGCAGAGCAGCTGTGGCTTTGGGATAGCAGTGCTGCTCTTCACCACTGGGCCACTAGAGCTACTTATTAAAAAAGAAGGGAGCTCTGGTGGCATACTGGGCAAGGAGTTGCATCACCAACCCAGTGGCAGATGGTTAAAATCCACTAGCTGTGCTGTGGGAGAAAGATGGTCCAATCTCCTCCGTTGGCATTTATAGACTCTGAAAACCTGGTTGAGGGGCAGCTATGGGTTTGGTTCCATCCAATGAAGAAGATTTCTTTAATTCTCCAAACTGTGTTTGTTCTATAGAGAAGGGAATTTCTGCATAAACAAACTGAAATGATAAATTTTGCTTCACACATGGTGAATTCCTCATGGAGGAGCTCTTATGTCATTCATTACTGAATCCCTGCTGCCTAGCAGGAAAAATGCCTGCAGTAACTGTTGAAAAACAAATATTCAACACATTGAAATGAAGTATAAATGAGAGATACCTCTATGTCCATTCATAAAGACTCTGAGGACGGAATCTATATTTACTGAGTGGAAATAGAGCAGAATTAATACGTTCACCATGCAATTAACAAGGTCCTTATGGTGAAGCTGGGTCTTAAATCAACAAAGCTTATTCTTAGTACACTTTAGTAATTCTGGGCTGAATCACCACACTTGTTTCTATTGGACAGGATTCTTGAGACCTCCCACTACAATTCCTTTCTTCAAATATGGAATGTAATTTAAAGCAACTGTAGTTCAGGAAAAAGTGATTAGTAATTTGGACAATCCAGACCGGACTCTACCGTGCTGGAACTGGCTTTCTCATTGATGAAATGGGATTAACAATATTTGTTCCAAAGAACTAAATTATTATAGGAAATGAATAAAGTAAATGGGTTACAACATTTTACAAAGAAATGCTATATTAGTAGAGTACACTGCTATTATATAAATAAGGTAGGTGTTTCAAAATCAGAAGCAAATAATCATATTTGTTACTCTTCAACCACACACTATAGGGCTCTCTTTAAAATCTGCATGTGTAAATTTCTCCTTCACATCTTTCATTATTCAAAATAATGTTTAAATGTTGTCTGCAACATATAGCAATAAGAAAACTCCGGAAGTAAAAAACCATGAAAGATCATTTTGCCTCCTGCCTTGTACAAACCAAACAATTACCATGTTTAATCTTTTGTTTCACAGAAATTTCCATTCATGAATTTTGCATTTTAAGTTGCTTGACTCCTAAGACCTTTGTTAAGTGGTTATCTTGATGATAAAGATGTACAACTACTGCTTGAAAAACATCCCTAGGGAATTAGTTTTATCTACAGGACACACTCTAAGAGGTAGCATTACATTGACACAATTACCCCTGACCAAACTGAAATATTTCATTCAGTGAATTTTACACCATCTTTAATATTATTCTACACATTACATTGTATTCTCTCTCCATACCTATTTAATTTGTATGCTGGGCAAATTATCCAACAAACTGGATGCTATGAAATGGAGTGTGGCATCAAGATTGGAGGGAGATTCATCAATAATCTGTGTAATGCAGATGATACAACCTTATTTGCTGAAAATGAAGGCTTGAAGCCCTTGTTGCAGAAGATCAAGAAATGCAGCCTTCAGTATGGATTGCATCTCAATGCCAGGAAAACAAAGATTCTTACCTCTGGACCCATGGGCACATCACAATGGATGTAGAGGATACTGAAACTGTCAACAGTTTCATCTTGCTTGGATCCACTATTAACACCCTTGGTATGAGCAGTCAGGAAATAAGAAGATGAATTGCAATGGGAAAATCTGCAGTTAGGGAACTTTACAAATTAATGAGGAGTAGTGATGTCAGTTTTAAGATTAAGGTGAGTCTGATTCAGGCCCTAATCTTTCTGATTACCAGCTACGCATCTGAGAGCTGGACAATGAATATGGATAACAGAAAAGAATTGACACCTTTGAGCTTTGGTGTTGGAGAAGAGCACTAAATATCCCATGGATGGTCAAGAGAATAAACAGATAAGTCTTCGAGAGGGTGCAGCTAGAGCACTCTCTGGAAGCAAGAATGATGAGGCATGTTGCTTTGGGCATGTTGCTAACAAGGTCTATCCCTTGGGGAAGGATATGATGCTGGGAAGGGAGGAGTGTCAATGAAAGAGAAGAAGACCTTCAACCACGTGGAATGATATAGTGAAAGGTGCAATGGGCTCATGTGTGTCAGAAAGTGAGAGGATGGCGCAAGATAGAACAGGGTTCAGATCTCTTGTTCATAGGGTCACTATGAGGGTCGAGTTGTGCTCGACTTGACAGCACCTAACAACAATAACAACAACATCGCATTGATTGGGTCTTGCTGCAGAAGGATAAACACTGCAGCCTACAGTATGGACTGCATCTCAACATCAAGAAAACAAAAATCCTTTCTACTGGACCAATAGGCAACAAAATGGATGGAGAAAGGATTTGGACTTTCAATGACTTCATCTTATTTGGATCCACAATCAATACACCTGGTAGGAGTAGTCAGGAGATCAGGGGATATATTGTGCACTTGGAAAGGTTGTAGTCATAGATCTCTTCAAATTATTGAGAAGTAATGACGACAATTTGAGGATTAAGGTGCATATATGATTCAAGCTATGGTCTTTTCAATTACTTGTTATGCTGCAGAGAACTGGACAATGAATAAGAAGGACAGAAGAACTGATACC